AATAATAATAATAATAAAATAAAAAACACAAAAAACAACGCCACCTAAGCTACTACTTACAAATTTTTTTCAGAAATTCAAACCCTCGTGTTAATTTGATAAGGGGCAAATCTAACAGACAACACTGAACTCTGCACATGCACTTAATATATGAAAAGTGTCAAAATGTTCCCTAACTCCTTGCAGAGAGTCGTGTTAATCCCAAAGTCTATACAAGTGCCAATTTATTCCCTGTATTTTCGTGATATGTGCATAAATAGTCCCAGTTGAGGACTACTTTAGCCCCAATTTAAATAGTTTGGGGTCTAATTTGATACTTTTATAAATTATGGGGCTACAATGACCTCATTAAACAGGCAAGGGACTATTTTAACACTTCAGTCCACTTAATATTAACAATGTTCGACATAGTAGCAACCATAAAACAAAATCTAAACCACAACAATAATCATCAGGAAACCTCTCACCCCTACAACCACTTGGATCCACTTTGGGCTCTTCACGTGTCTCTGAATGAATGGAAACCCTGAAGGGAATGCACAGAGCTACATCAAAAGAATAATCCACATCGGCCTCACTTCTACATATTCAAAACAAAATTCAAAAACACCATACCCGTGTTGAATCCGTGAACTGCACTCAGCATGGCGCCAATGCCTGAACCAGCCTATTCAACAACAAAACCATAAAGCTAAATTCAGAAGAATCTCAGATCACCCGATAAAAGAGTAATGTATATAATAGCATATTAGCATTCAAGAATAGATATCCTAAAGAATCTCGTGTACCACGGCAGTGGCGTCGTGCAGAACCGAAGCAATAGTCCATTTCTCTTCCTGCAGCATCACAGCAAAACCCGGAATTAATGCACCAATATTAAATAAAGACAATGAAAAGATATTACAGTCAAACAAGATAGTAGCAGAAAGCGAGAGAGACCGAATTAGGGTTCACGAGGGAGAGGCATCGAGGGCAGCGAGCGGAACCGAGACCGGGGTTAATGGTGGGATCGTGGTAGAGATTGCCGGAACGGAGCTTCTCCTCGTATACTTCTCTGGTTCCCATGGCCTTCCAGCCCTCCGCTTCTCGTGGCCGCCGGTAAACCTAGCGATTTTTTGTTTTGTATTCATTGCCCTTTAAGAAATTAGTATATAGATAAAAATATATATTTTAAATCATATTTTGCTAAATTTTCAAAAATAAATAAATCATGTTTTTATTATGAAATAAAGCTGTGTTTATGTAGAAGTAAAACCAGATTTATTATTATTATTATTTGTAAATTTGCCAACACATAATATTTATTATTAAACTTTTATCTATAGTTCAATATAAATATTTGTTTATTATTATTATTTTCGAGTGATTAAATTATA